AATACTATATTGATTATTTCAATTGTTGGCAATGATGAATCAATGTAGATAGCTATGGAAATCACTATGTTAGTGACATGTACATCTATATTGTACATTTTATTGAAAGGTCTCCAGCCCCTATGAGAATATCAAGAAAGAGTTTTTAGATGAAAGGCCACATATACCTTTCATCAACACAGCAGCCCTAGATTCAACTGATACTGTCAGCACATGGATTAAATCAACCCTGTTGCAATTAATCTCTTTGAACCTCTGTGCTGAAATCTCACTCTGCTGGAAAAGCGTCTGGCTCCAGGATTATTAATCAAGGACTAGATATGAATCACATTTCTTCAGCATTGTGTTCACATTCAAAATTTTTCTCAGAGGTTTGCTGATTTGAAAGTGATGAAGCAGACCTAACCCAGGCACTAACTAAATCAATGTAACTATCTATTCATTTGTGCTCCAGAAACTCTTACTAGTAGTCTGTGTATAGCTGTATAGCAGCAATAGCTACCAAGCAAATGTACAAATGTTAATAATTTCCCATCCATCATGTACAGTGCATATATATATATATATATATTGGCATATTTCCATCTTAGCTTAACATATTTGTTGATTATTAAATGCAGGAAAGGCACTGAGAATCAAATTAGCTAAAATACCTGAATAACTTAGATATTTGAGTAATTAAATGGATGAGTTGGCAGCCCTGGTAGTCACACACAGCTAGCCATTTCTAATATGACTGATATGACTGTTGATGTGGTTAGTTCTTAGTAATATAGTTAATGTCAAAAAATATTTTAGCAAGCTGTGCATTTAAAATTGTTTCTGCTTACATTTCATGTTTTTATGTGGGTTTTACTGTGATTCACTATGAGAAGTAACACTGCAATAAAATTTGCTATAGTAAATTTTACTGCAGCAGATCAGATTTATTCTATTTATGAGATTATGTTATTTAAATAAATATCAGGATTCATTAAGTAAAATAATGTTCATATCCTTTGAATAATAATGTAAAACTGTTTTTATTCAAATCAATCAAATCATGTAAAAATCCTTTTTTTAAATTCATTGCACATGACTGGGTATTCAAAGTGAAAATGGCTTCACCCTATTTATTAAGCCAAGTGAACATTTACATGACTGCCTCTACTGCTGTAGTAAATCAACAGTAGGAGTTAAACAGATGTTGCCTTCTATCACATTTAGACCTACATATTAAATAAGAAAGTGATATTTCTTAGAAATACATTAGTAACACGACCAACAATATAGTGACATGACCTTTGTGCCATATATGTGTTCATGGGCTTAATCAATAGTTTAAGGTGCCAAATGCATAGTAACAAATCAGAATCCGCTTTAATAACGGTTAGATCAGATTAAGATAGATTGATTCTAATTGCTTTCTACAGATACTACAAATTTCCATTGGCACTTTGTTTGTAGCACTTGACGTTCAGAATAAAAATGTGAACCACAAAGTAGAAAAAGTAGCATAGTAGTGAAAGAAGTAGGAACTGAATAATGAATAGAATTCAGTAAGCTCTTAATAGAATCTTATTCCTTCCAATCCATCAATCTTCTAGGAAAATTAAAATTTCGTATGAAATATGTCTTGTTTAAAAAACTGGGTCAGTCCTGATCCTTGTGCATATACACTGCTCAAAAAAATTAAAGGAACACTTTGAAAACACATCAGATCTCAATGGGGAAAATTATCATGCTGGATATCTATAATGAAATGGACTGGGTAATGTAAGAGGAATGTAAGGATGCCCCATTGTTTGATGGAAATGAAAATTATCAATCTACAGAGGTCTGAATTTAAAGACACCCCAAAAAAATCAAAGTGAAAAAATTATGCAATAGGCTAGTCCATTTTGCTGAAATTTCATTGCAGCAACTCAAAGTGATACTCAGTAATTTGTATGGCCCCCACGTGCTTGTATGCATGCCTGAAAATATCAGGGCATGCTCCTATTGAGATGATGGATGGTGTCCTGGAGTATTTCCTGGACCAGGGCATCACTGAGCTCCTGGACAGTTTGAGGTGCCACCTGATGGCATGGACCAAAACATGATATCCCAAAGGTGTTCTATTGGATTTAGGTCAGGTGAGTGTGGGGGCCATTCAATGGTATCAATTCCTTCATCCTCCAGGAACTGTCTGCATACGCTTGCCACATGAGGCCAGGCATTGTTGTGCACCAGGAGGAACTTAGAACTCACTGCACCAGCGTAGGATCTGACAATGGGTCCAAGGATTCCATCCTGATACCTAATGGCAGTCAGGGTGCCACTGCCTAGCCTGTACAGGTCTGTGCGTCCCTCCATGGATATGCCTCCCCAGGCCATTACTGACCCACTACCAAAACGGTCATGCTGAACAATGTTACAGGCAGCATAACATTCTCCATGGCTTCTCCAGACCCTTTCACGTCTGTCACATGTGCTCAGGGTGATCCTACTGTCATCTGTGAAAAGCAGAGGGCGTCAGTGGCAGACCTGCCAATTCTTGTGTTCAATGGCAAATGCCAATCAAGCTCTATGGTGCCGGGCAGTGAGTACAGGGCCCACTAGAGGACATCGGGCCCTCAGGCCACCCTCATGAAGACTGTTTCTGATTGTTTTGTCAGAGACATTCACACGGTGGCCTGCCGGAAGTCATTTTGTAGGGCTCTGGCAGTGCTCATCCTGTTCCTCCTTGCACAAAGGAGCAGATATCAGTCCTGCTGATGAATTAAGGACCTTATAAGGTCTTAGCTCTCATAGAGTAACTGCCTGTCTCCGGGAATCTCCTCCATGCTCTTGAGACTGTGCTGGGAGACACAGCAAACCTATTGGCAATGGCACATATTGATGTGCCACTCTAGAGGAGCTGGACTGCCTGTGCACCCTCTGTAGGGTCCAGGTATCACCGTATGCAACCAGTAGTGACACTGACCCTAGCCAAATGCAAAACTAGTGAAAAACAGTCAGAAAAGATGAGTAGGGAAAAATATGTCAGCGGCCTCCACCTGTAAAACCATTCCCGTGTTGGGGGTCATGTAATTGTTGCCCATCTAGTGCACCTGTTGTTAATTTCATTAACACCAAAGCAGCTGAAACTTATTAACAACCCCCTCTGCTATTTAACTGACCAGATCAATGGGCACACTTCACTAAGTAGTATCTTACCGCATCCGAGTATGCGGTAGGATACCGCACAGCATTTTAAAAAAAAAAACGTTTGAATTCACAAAAAAAATGCTACTAAAATACTGCATGAGTTATTTTATCAAGTCATGCGGCATTTTAGTAGTGAAAACCATGCGTTAATGTTTCAGCTGCCAGCTGGGTTCCCCACTGACAGCTGAATGTCAAAGAAAGAATTGCCTGCAATTAAAAAAAAAACGGCATGAGGTCCCCCCCTCCATCCATACCAAGCCCTTCGGGTCTGGTATGGATGTTGAGGGAAACACCCATGCCAAAATTAAAAAGAAAAAATGGTGTGGGGGTCCCCCCCAAAATCCATACCAGACCCTAATCCGAGCATGCAGCCCGGCAGGTCAGGAAAGGGGGGGGGAGAGAGAGAGCACCCCCCTCCTGAACCATACTACGCCACATTCCCTCAACATGGGGGGTGCTTTGGGGCAGGGGTATGCTGGATCAATGATGTCACACGGGGGCAAGGTCACATATGTGAAGTAATGGGTGGCCCCGCCCCTTACGTATTTAAGAACTGTCAAGCCAGTGGAGCAGCCAGAAGGCGGGAGCCAGCGTCAAGAGCGCAGCCTTTTTTTCTTTTTTTGGGTTGGCAGCGGCGGGCATCTTGACTGACGTTTGACCTACTTTGGGGGACATTCTTTTATTCTCCTTCTTTTAATAAAGGACTTGTCAAAGACTGTCTCCTGTCTTTTTTCACACTACATTTTTTTTGTGAATGGGCAGCGGTACCATGTACCGCATAGTCATTCACATGGGGGGGGGGCGAGATCTGGAGGCCCCCTTGCTAAAGGGGGCTTCCAGATTCCGATAAGGCCTCTGTTCCCAGACCCCCACAACCATCGGCCAGGGTTGTAGGGATGAGGCCCTTATCCCCATCAACATGGGGACAAGGTGCTTTGGGCTGCATGCTTGGATAAGGGTATGGTATGGATTTTGGGGGGGACTCCACGCCATTTAAAAAAAAATTTTGGTGTGGGAGTTCACCTCAAAACCCATACCAGACCCGTAGGGCTTGGTATGGATGGAGGGGGGACCTCACGCCGTTTTTTCATTCCTTTTTAATTAGCGGCAATTTTTCACAGTCAGCTGATAGTGGGAAACCCTGCTGACAGCTGGTGACTTATAGGTTGTTAAGGACTCCATGGCCACACATTCCTTAACAACCCATGACAGTACTGACAGATACCAGTACATACCGCATGCCTGGACCACTACTTAAGTACCGCATGAATTGAATTATTTCCTTTTGTGAATTGACTTTAACCTCCCTAGCGGTCTGATTATGTCCATATTTCTGTGCTGAAAGTGGTACATTTTTTTGCATGGAAATATGTATTTTTTTTATTGTAGGCCTGTAATTTTTAGGAATAACTCACTGAAATCTGTCCGAACAAGAGTCTAGTAAACATCCCGGGTATGATAAAATTTGAAACACGAAATCATATATTCTAATATGATAAATAATCATAAAAAAATAATAATATAATAATAATAAATTTAATTCAATAATATAATCAAACCAAAAACACTGAAACTGAACTATAGCGCCAAGTTCGCACATCACTGAGAAAAGTCGCAGAATCATTTTCAGTGTCTGATGACGAATTTCTCCATGAATCATTATCACTCAATTCTGCAAGTGGTTCTGATTTACTATCGCTGTTCTCTAGCTGGTCTAAAACTGCTTTTTACCTAAAGGGACGCTTTTTGGACGCCATGGACGTTTCTCAGTTTCCAGGCAATAAGAACAGTAAAAATGCAGGCAGGGCACAGGACAAAGCACTAGGGACAAAATGTATGTGAAATGGTTTGATACAGTAATGTTTTACTATGTTATTTTAGTGTATTTAGTGAATGTCACTTTTTGTCATTTTCAAATTTCCCGCCAGTTCCGTCCCCCGTACGTCCCGACGCTCGGAGGGGACGGAACCCAGATGACAGATGCCGGCATCCACTGGATTACATTGCCGGGGACACTGCAGGAGAGACATCGCGGGAGCGCAGGACAAGGTAAGTGAAGAACAGATGCCGGAGCAGCGCCGCATGGTAAGCCCGAGTGTAGCTCGGGGTTACCGCTTTTGGTACTGAAACTTTACCCCGAGCTACACTCGGGAATACCGTCAGGGAGGTTAACAAACATGTGGAAACAAGCCCAGCTGAAAGACTTGGAAATTTGAGAAATAGATACCTGATGCTTAAAATCCCATTAAGCACTAACAGATTTGGTGCAGTGTGCCTTACCAGGGAAGGGAAAAACCCTAAAGTTCAGGTTATAGACTTTAATGAAAACTTGCCTAATCCATCTAACCATCAGAGCCTGGGTCTGAACCTGGGCCTTCTGCGGTGAGTGGCAAAGTTTCTTCCTGCTGAGCCACCTGGAATGCTGGATAGCTCACTTGACAATCATTTGGATGATCCTACCTTGACCTTGTTTATCATGAACTTTGAAACCCTTGCTCCTCCCATGAACTTCCTGATATAAACCATATCTCTGCACTTCTGGTTTGCCAGAGTATTGTGCTCTCCAGCCAGTATAGGCTCCTTATCATCTCTGCTGTTATCCGTATTTTGCTATCACTCGTTATTGACCATTGGCTTGTTCTCAACTACGCTTCTGCCTGATCACAACCTGCGACTGCTCCTTACCGACCTTGGCTTGTTTACTGACCACGCTTCCGTTTGATCCTTATCTGTTTATACGCTACTGGACCTCCGCTTGCTCACCTCCTGGTGGGGTGATCCCGAGGACCGCAACTTGGTGCTAACACACAGCCAAATCCATCTCCACCATTAGGAGCTCTGGTGAACACTGGTTGGTACTTAGACTCTGCACCTCGGGTGATCCCACTCCTCCACCACGGTGACCTGCCTGTGTACCTATCCTGCTGGTTTCAGGTAAGCCTTTCCACTGCTATAGCAACTGGTCTTTGAGCCTGACCCCTGATCGTGACACTAACAATGGTGAGGCGAGAAGCAGAAAAGCCCCTGCAGGAGCCCTCAAGATGCACACAGGGAATCTGATTAGCTAAAAAAGGCAGTAACAGAGGTAAATGTTCACAAAGTGCACCATGTCAAGACAGGGAAGAGAAATTTTCATTTGACTCACCTACTCTAGGGAAAGTTTGGCCTTGGTCCTCAGATGCATGTTGACATACAAGGACTGAGTCTGTTTGTCCCACACTTACAGAATGTTGTGTTGCAGTGCTCTGGAGTGAAACTGGGCATACAGCACAGCCTCAGAGGAGGCAGCCAACAGACCCAAGACCCTTATGCAGACATGAAGGGCCCAGACATGAGAGTGAAAGGACAGACGTTTGTAAAAAAGCAGGAAGATTTTGGACAGGGCTGCCTCCAACATCAGGCCCAGGTACCCAAATCTGTAAGATGAATACAGCAATGACTTCCTTAGATTGAGGAACTAACAGAAGTTCTGCAGAGTTTGAATTGTCTGTTGCATGTTGTTCCCAGGGAAAGGGAATATCGATCATCTAACAGAAGATCATACAGGCACCCAAAATATGAATCACCTGAACACTAAGCAGAGCCAAAACCATGTCAGCTCAGCCATGACTGATTAAAGGGCTTCCATTCTGTACTCACCACTGCAGCTTGTGTAGGCAGGATTAACAGGGGGAACACCCCATCCTAGCTTCACTCTCCACAATGGGCATATCCCTGCAGATGTTTTCAGGGAAAGGGCTCTGCCAATGGCTGACCACAGCCACAGACCTGTAAAACACCCTGTAAAGCACCATGTGTCTAACTCTATCCAACTCTTGTACTGCATACCAAAGGGAGCCCCTACAGCAGGACTAATGTATGGCAACAACATAACAGTCTGGTCCTGCTTCTTCCATCTAGAGTAGTCTGGGTATGGTCCCCCAAGGCTCTGCCAAAGAGTCAACTGTTTTGGAAACTGCACACAATGGCTATGGTCCAGCAGGAAACTTGACATAACAATCATCTTGGACTATCATAATCAGACAAAGAGGTTAGCTGAAAGTGAGAGGGATTATATAGGGTGATGTCCCTTCAGCCTTTCTTTTTACCAGTGTCCATTCATCTGAAGGTAGCTGTATATAACCAACCCATAATGATTAACCTTTTGCTGCCCGGCCAATGGCCGTTGGCGGGCGGCAAAATCCCTCAGCGTTCCGAGTGGACGCCATATGGCGTCCTCCCGGGCATGCGCAGTTCACATGCCTGCAGAGCCGCGCAGCGGCGCGATCTTTCACCGGCCGTGTACCTCAGACACGGCCGATGACAGATCTGAGTGCCGGCCCAATTGCCGGTACCATGTGACCTGCTGTGACCAATCACAGCAGGTCACATGACAGTTATATACAATGGATGGCTTCATTCATGCCATCCATTATATACTACTATGTCTAGCTGTGAATGGTCACAGCGATCACATGCACAAGCTGGGCCAATCACAGCCCAGCTGTGTCATGTGATTAGCCGTGGCCAAATCACAGCTAAGCACAAAAAAAAAAAACCTGAATGAATCGATGTCATTCAGGTAAATGCTTGCTTATAGCAAAGAAATTCTTTGCTATAAGCAAATTGTATACAAAAAATACTGATCACTTCCCCAAAGTAGTACAATGTTACTATGATAACATTGTACTACTTTGGTCATAGTGAAATATGAAAAAAACTATTAAAAATTAAAAAAAAAAAAAAATTATATATATATTTTTTTTCATACTGTCACCAGTCAGTGTCCCTGATCACCGCCATGCCAGTTATATGATGATGCTGTACTGAACTGGTCACAGTATGTAAAAAAAAATAGTGAAAATAATTTTTTTAATTTTCCGAAAAATTATGACAAAATACAACTTCAAAAAACTCGCCATGCCTGTTATGAAGTACGTCGGACTGTCTACTCTGCAAAAAGGGGTCATTTGGGGGATATCTGTACTGTTCTGACATTCTTGGACCTCAAGAAATTAGATTGGCCATCAGTACTTCAGGATTGATCAATTTTCAGATCTATATCATAGTTTGTGAACTCTATAACTTTCCTAGAAACTAAATAATACATCCTAATTTGGGTTATTTTCACCAAAGACATGTAGTAGAATACATCTCGGCCTAAATTTATGAAGAACAATTATTTATTTGCAAACTTTTATAACAGAAACAAAGAAAAACGTGTTTTTTTTTTCAAAATTGTGGTCTTTTTTTTATTAATTTAGCAAAAAATAAAACCCCAGTGTTGCTTAAATATTACCAAAAGAAAGCTCTAGTTGTGTGAAGAAAATGATAACATTTTACTTTGGGTACAATTTTGTATAACCGCGCAATTGTCATTCAAAGTGTGAGAGCGCTGAAACCTGAAAATTGGCCTGGGCAGGAAGGGGGTAAAAGTGCCCTGTATTGAAATGGTTAAAGGGCCTGTGCCCCATATTGTACAACTAAGAAATATTAATTTAGGAATTTCACTCACCAGCCACTTGGTACACCTCTTCAATTGCTTGGTAACACAAATTGCTAATCAGCGAATCACATGGCAGCAACTCAATGCATTTAGACATCTAGACGTGGTGAAGACGACTTGCTGAAGTTCAACCCGAGCATCAGAATAGGGAAGAAAGGGGATTTAAGTGACTTTAAATGTGGCATGGTTGTTGGTGCCAGACAGGCTGGTCTGAGTATTTAAAAAAACTGTTGATCTACTGGGATTTTCACGCACAACCATCTCTAGGGTTTACAGAGAATGGTCCGAAAAAGAGAAAATATCCAGTGAGCGAGAACTGTGTGGACAAAAATGCCTTGTTGATGTCAGAAGTCAGAGGAGAATGGACAGACTGGTTCGAGATGATAGAAAGGCAACAGTAACTCATGTCAAAATGGACCAAAATCTCTGAGGAATGTTTCCAACACCTTGTTGAATCTATGCCAACAGAATTAAGACAGTTCCAAAGGCAAAAGTGGGTCCAACCTGGTACTAGCAAGATGTACCTAATAAAGTGGCCGGTGAGTGTAATTTCTTGGAAATGATTAAGAACACTTTTTTGCAAAGTATATATATTTCCTTTTAACTCTGCCTAAGAGAGCATACTGTGTTCCCTTACTAACAATTATATACATTAACTACAACAAAAGCAATACAAGTCTGATTTACTTAGTGTGGAGGCTTGCTGGCAGGGAATTCTGGTTAGGTATCTCTCAGCTCTGCCAGTAATAGCATGCTCACTTGGGTGTAAGTTGTGTGGGTGATCAATCAAGAAAAATAAAATGAACATTAGCTCATTTGGCAGTTTTTTTGTTCGGTATAAGACTTTAAAGAATTCTAGAAATAAAATATGATAAAGCAGTTGTTGAATATTGTTCTGTGTATTGAATATTGTTCTGTTGGTCTTAAAGTCATCATAGAGCGCAGAAAGTGATCTGACATGAGTGAGTCTCCAAGGGCTGGATAGTTGCTCTGTGTTGTGGTGATTTGTTAGTGTCAAGTGTTGTCTTCAAATCTCTCAGTTTCCTGGATTCCCATGTTGTAAAGCAAAGACCATTGTAATATATTAAATTGTGACAGGCTATTACAATAAGTTCATTTCTGCCTGTGGCTCCACCACAAATCTGCCAATGTGGCCCCTTCCTCTATCAAAGTCATCTGCTGCAATTAAAGTCCAGCTGTCACTTAAAGCAAAATTAGTTGTTTTTTTTAATCTTCGTGTTAAAAATAGTGCATGCACACACACTTGGAGAACTCATAAACACTACTGTAGACACTGTGTAGAATGCCCTTGCTCCTACGCATTATAAAGGTCGATGCAGGGGACATATTCATGTACCTGTTGGGAACAGGTGCATGAATCTGTTGCATGCACGAGATGTGGCATGGAGGCTGGACTGTCCATATCACCGACATGTTTAGCCCTAAATTTCTGGGCCAACAGCCAAAATTAAACAAGGGGGTTGGGGGTGCAGACTTGTCACTTCCCAAATACAGTCATGCCAGCCAGAATCTCCTAGCTGGCAGCTGAATGGGACCAGGGATGAGCCATTGGTAGCTAGAATGGTGGTGGCCGCTGGGGTCCTAGCAGCCATGAGCACTTTGTGGGAAGCTTTCATACCTGTTCCATGTTTGCTTAGCTGTGAACAGGTATTAATACTTTTTTAA